GCTTCTATTCTGAATAAAAACATGTCAGTGCTTCTATTCTGAATAAAAACATGGTCCATGTAAACACTCATGGTGCATTGGGCCCATGTGAAACATGAACTCACATTGTTTCATCTGAATATATTTCAATCCCATCAAAGACGTTTACACATGTAAACAGCTCGAGTCTCTTTCCTGTCCCTCAAACCCAGCCAGTCGAGGCAGATGGCCTCCTGTCCAGAGCCTGGTTCTGGTTCTGGTTCTGGTTCTGCTGGAGTTTTTCCTCTCTACTGTCACCACTGAGCTGCTCAGGATGGAGACTGATGAAGTGATTCAACACAACCTGCTGCTGCTTCAGATTCATAGTTTTTCATGTCCAGTGCCCTGAGACACCTGTGACTTGGTGCTGTATAAACTGAACTGAGACACTTCAGGATCTGGACCTGGTCTCTGTCCTCACATCAAGACTGAAAACTTTCAAAGTCCACCAAGAAAAAGAAAATCAACTCACTCAGTGTTAAAACCATCGACATGAAGAATCTTCATCTGCTTCACAATCGTGCTTTTACCTGATTCTCCTGCACCTGCAGAGGGACAAGAGGACAGGGACAAGAGGACGGGGACAAGAGGACAGGGACAGGAGGACGGGGACAAGAGGACAGGGACAACAGGACGGGGACAAGAGGACAGGGACAAGAGGACAGGGACAAGAGGACAGAGACAAGAGGACGGGGACAAGAGGACAGGGACAAGAGGACAGGGACAAGAGGATGGGGACAAGAGGACAGGGACAAGAGGATGGGGACAAGAGGACGGGGACAAGAGGACAGGTATAAAAGGACAGGGACAGGAGGACGGGGACAAGAGGACAGGGACAAGAGGACGGGGACAAGAGGACAGAGACAAAAGGACGGGGACAAGAGGACGGGGACAAGAGGACAGGGACAGGAGGACGGGGACAAGAGGACAGGGACAAGAGGACAGAGACAAGAGGACAGAGACAAGAGGACGGGGACAAGAGGACAGGGACATGAGGACAGAGACAAGAGGACAGAGACAAGAGGACAGGGACAAGAGGACAGAGACAGAAGAATACTGTCACAAACAGCTAACTCATAGCCAGTGATTGTAAAAGAACAGACCTTAAAGACAACACTGTAAAAAGAACAGACCTTAAAGACAACACTGTAAAAAGAAAATACCTTAAAGACAACACTGTAAAAAGAACAGACCTTAAAGACAACACTGTAAAAAGAAAATACCTTAAAGACAACACTGTAAAAAGAACAGACCTTAAAGACAACACTGTAAAAAGAAAATACCTTAAAGACAACACTGTAAAAAGAACAGACCTTAAAGACAA